GCCCCGGCCCAGCCGCCATCCCTCCTCCTGCGCCGATCGCTCGCCTCCCGGCGTCGAGCCCCCTCCCTGCCGTCCCCGGGTCTTTCAGCGCCCCCGGCCCCTCACCCACCTCGACCGGAGCAGGCGTCATGGGCCCGGAACTTGAGCCGCTTTCCTCTCTTGGGCATGGTTATCGGGTCGGGGCGAGGCCGGCCTAGAGAACCGGGACCCCGGGCCATGTCTCGCGCCGTAGGGCCGGGGCCGAAGCCAGGAGCCTAAGGCCAGCTCCGGCCAGCTCCGCCTGGCTCCGCGGGCATCCCGCACCTCAGCCGCGGCTCTCGCGATGATTTAGGACTGGACTCCAAATCGCGTTGGCAGCCCACACCCCTCTTCAAGAGCCAATCAGAGGGGCCGGGGATTTAGCTCAGTGGTTCCGCCGCCTGCCTCGCAAGCGCAAGGCCCCAGATTCGATCCCCCGTACCGAAAAAAAAAAAAAAAAAAAAGAGCCAATCAGCGCCAGGTGTCTGGATACGTCATCGTCCGGCGCCTTCAGATCCGGTTGGGTCTCAGTTCTAGCAGTGTACCCTGTGCTTGGTGTTTCCGACCCGGTGCTCACACCCCCGTGGATTTGAAACTGAGAGTTTACATCCTGGTCTCCCGGATTCTTCCTGCTACCGGTAACTCCTCTGTCCGCCCTCCAGGTCCACGTCAGCATCCACACGCACATAGTACTTTGTAATTTTTGTCTTCCACCTCTTGCACTCAGTCCCGTAAACAGCGCCCGCTCTTCCAACATGGGTTTGTGAGTCTGCACTGTAATTCCTTTAACGAAAGCTACAAATTTCTGAATTCTCAAAATAGAAGGAAGTTCTTAAAAGTTTTCCAATCTATCATCATCCCTCAAGCAAAATTCTAGATAGATCGATGAAGAAAGAATATCATCATTCCTGAGTTATGTTCTCCTTTATTCTTATTTACAGCTCCCAAACGGTGAGTATCCCTAGTTTGACAGCGCAATATTTAGAGCACAGGCATTCAATCTGCTGATCCACCCTAAAATATTTAGAAGAGGACTCCATTTTTAATCTAATTAGCTAGTACCATACACAGAAGTTCATTAGGACCAAGCCGTTGGCGTTTTACTACCCTTATATAACAGACGACCACGAGGGGTCGTGCTAATAGGCTTGAATCAAGAGTTATATTGAAGCGTGGCTGAGGGGCCGGGGCCGCGGGGCCGCCAGGGAGTTACACCAGCGCGTGGCTGAGGCACGGAAGACAGAGATGATTTCGGGGTGGCTCGTTTCAACCGCTGCCTACTGGGCTTCAGCAGAGAGAACAGACCCACCCTAGAGGAGCAGCACTCACCTTTAGGTGAGCAAGGAGACATGTGCCAGAAGAGCACCATCCCACCCTCACCTGAGAGCAGACTTGTGCCAGAGGAGCAGCGTCTGACCCTACATGAGCAAGCACACCTGCTCCAGAGGAGTGGCTCTCACCAGCAGGGGAGCAAGCAGACCTGTATTGGTCAAGCAGCACCCCTCCCCGGGGGAGACTGTCACAAGGAATCAGGAGGCAAGGAATAACCAACCAGTCTGATCCTGGACAGCACAACACCAGAGAGAGAAAGGAACCACCGGATTCTATGACAAAGAACATTAAATCTAACAGCCCACATGAACCCCTGGCCTGTGGCCTATATCCAGCAGAGACAAGTGAGCTGAAAACTAGTATGGAGATTCCTCACAAAACTGAAACTAGAAATTCTACTTGATCCAGCTATTCCCCTTCTAGATGTCTTCGCAAAAGAGTTAAAGACATTACAGTGATCCATGCAGACCCATGTATATAGCAGCACAGTTCATAATAGCTAAACATTGGAAGCAACCTATATGTCCATCAACAGAAGAACAGATAAATTAAATGTGGTTTTTAAACACAATTGAGTACTACTCTACCATAAGGGATGATAAACTTGAGTCATTTGCTAAAAAAATTAAAGCATCTTGAGACCATAATGTTCAGTGAAATAAATCAGACACATAAGCTTAAATATCACATGGATTTTTTTTTTGTATGAGAAACCCAAAGTATAAAGAAAGAGCAAAACAAAGATAGATGGTAAGAAGTAGAGAGATAAATCTTTCTAAACAGGGAAAAGATCAAAAGGTGGAGAGGGTGGAGTGGGAGGAGAGGGAAAAGGGATGATAAAAAGGAAGTGTAAGATGTGTTATGTACCTGTACCAATTACTCCCCAGGTATGTAAACTTTATGTACTACCACCATGTACTAATAAAATAAACCAAAGGTAAATACAAAAAAAAGTTATATTGAAGCTGAATATAATTTAATACAATCAGAAGTGTTCAGATTTAATGTACTCAAAGTAGCTTGTTCTATTATTAGTTTGTTCTCTATTTTGTTAGGAAATTTTGTTTTATTTTTTCATAGAAGTAAGAGTGCTTTTTTATATTTTCTTTAATAATACCTACTTGCATTACATTAAAATTTTAAAAACCAAAAAGGTTTGGTGGACTGTTAATGAAAATTGTTTTAAAGAATTTTCCATATATACATAATTAATCACTTGTGGTTTAGTTCGAAATGCAGATGGTAAGCATTGAGCCTTCTCATTTTAAAGATACTTTCAGTGATGTGTTACATTTTGCTTCTACTGCATGAAGAGAGACTATATAAGGGAGTTAGAAGCAAAACAGCCTATTCCAGTTGATTAAAATGGTACAAGACTAGCTGATATGTGTTAAGTATTTAGCCTGCAATCAGCAGGGTCATAATTTAGACTGGTCTGTCTATCCTCAAAGCCCATCTGTAAAATTGCTACACTATATCACCCATAAAATAAAGATCAACTAAGCCTTTGATTAACAATTAATAGCCTTAGGGGCTGGGGATTTAGCTTAGTGGTTTCGGCCCCTGCTGCACAAGCACAAGGACCCAAGTTCGATCCCCGGTACCAAAAAAAAAAATAGCCCCAGCAGATGTGGAGGCAAGCAGTGGCTAAGATAGAGAAAATCTCTAAGACAAAACAAACTGAAAGGGTACTTTAACAATAAATTTCTATGATGTTTCAAAGCTGTGGTCAAGGTCTGAAAAGAATTTGATGTAGAAAAACAATTCAGTGGCACTAGAAAAAGTACATTAATTAAATCTTGGGAAAATGCATGTAACTAACTTTTGTATGCCTTTTTAAAAATATAGTATATATAATAAAAATAGTGAAGTTCAGATGGACGCTGAGCGTTTTTCAGTTAAACAATAATAAGAGCAGCCTGGTGATGGGGAACTCAAGTTCTTATGGGAGATGTCTGGATTTGAATCACTGTTCTTCCTCTTTTCCTTTTTTTTTTTTTTTGGTACTGGGGATCAAACTCAGGTCCTTTTGCTTGCGCAGCAGGCAGTGAAACCACTGAGCTAAATCCCAGACCTACTGTTCTTCCTCTTAACAGCTACTTGACCTTAAGAAAATTACTTAATCTCACCAAAATTCAGTTTCCTTACCTAAAAAGTGGGTATAATAATGGTGCCAAATTCATAGAGTTGTGAAGATTACGTGAGATAATACTGTGCATGAAAAGCTTTTTGCTTTGGTACCAGCTATATAAGCACTCAGTAAATGTTCACTACACTTACAAATAGACACATGTTTATTTGAATCTATATTAACTACACTTACAAATTAGACATATTTATTTGAATCTGTAGTTCTCAACCTTGAGTGTACAACAGACTACTAATTTTTTTTTTGCTTTTTCCTATTTTTATTTATAAAGAACACAACCCCACCTGATGCAGGAACAAATACTTATACATCTCAAGGAGGAGTTCATTAAAACAACAACAACAGAACTAGGGGAAACAGTAGGACCTTATTTAACAAAGATCTGTGCAACCCAGACTCAAGAATTACTGAGAACATTGTCTCAAATAGGACATCTCACTTCAAAGACAGGAAGAGAGACTTTAACCTCCAGGACCCACCTACTATAAGGCAGAAAGCCCTGCATTCAGTCTTCAGCATCATCAAACTGTCCTGTTTCAAAGACCATCATGGAATAATGGGGAATTAGTGGAGGAGGGTGGTGCCAACTGGGGTCATAGATCATGTCTCCTTGTGGGGCACAGCACACCCAAGGTTTGATCTCTTGATAAATGCTTCACTGAATATCATCAGCATCGTAAGGATTCCCTTGATCTGCTTTCAACTCCAAATCCCAGTCCTCGTTAAGAAGGTCAGCAGTGTGTTCCTTGAGCGGACAGCGTGTTCCTTCTGGCAGCTCCCAGGTATTATTTTCCACAGCAAAGCCTTCCTCTTTGGAATGTGTGTCCTCGCTGTGGGTAGGAATATCATTAGGGATGCTCTGTGCTCCACTGGCTAGTCGATCCATGGGGTCTCAGTCTCTCTCTCTCTCTCTCTCTCTCTCTCTCTCTCTGGACCAGAATGGTCAGCTGTGGCAAGGCCAACCTCCGGGCTGCGGGGTGCCTCCCGCGCACTCAACAGCGAGGGACCCCGAGGTGACCCCGCCGCCCCCGGCGCCTGGGCCCCGGCCACCTGAGTGTCCATGCCTGCTTTCCTCCCGCTGCTTGGCGCCCAGGACGTTGCGTGCCCACTTGACCACTAGTAAGTATTTTAAAAGTACCGGTGACCCAGCCAACACCTAGAGTTTCTGGGCACCTCCGTTGTAAAACAAAAACAACAGAAAACAATCTTTGGGTAGCTTTAATGTTCAACCCATATACTGTGAACCACAGTTTAGATCAAGGGCCAGTAAACCAGGGCTACAAGCCAAAGCTCAGTCCTACCTGTTTTTGTAAATAAAGTGTTATTAGAACATAGGGAAGTTATCTTATCTGTGATTACTTCTCTTTTTCTAGACAATTGAAAAACAATTTATTGAAACAGCTGGCTTAACCTGTGCGATGTTGATTTTGACCGTGCACCTGGCTGGGTACTGATGGGAGGAGCCAGTTTAACAGTCTCTGGACTGTGCGGGCCAGTGAATTCCCTGCGGACTCTTCTTGATTCTCTGAGTCTTGGAGCCTTCACCACAAGCTTTCCACAGAGTGAGTCTCGGAATCTTGGTGGGGATCTGAACTGGTCCGTTCGCACATCTTCGCCAGGAGCTTTCCACTGTGGCCGGTTAGGGTCGTTCTGATTTGGTGAATTGCCACCTCTGCTCCCAACTCTACCTTCACTGTGTCGTTCCTGTCTTTTATTGGGGGGGGGCAGGGATTTGTTTTTTTAATACATTTTTGTTTCTATTGGTACATGTTTGCGATACATAATGGTTACATCCATCACAGGGAGGTGGTACAAGTCCTAATACTTCTCAATTCTTTCTTCATCCCCTTCCCATCTCTCGGTTTCCCACCCTTTCCCTCCTTTTTAAAAGTCACATCTGCAAATCGGGGTCAGGAGCTGGCAGACCAGAGTTCCACTGCAGCTGCAACCTCAAATTGATATCTGTGCTACTTTCCTCTACAAGGCAGTAGAGTACTTTTGACCGACCCTCAAGGTCAAAAACATCTGCTATCTGGCCCTTTACAGCAGGAATAAAGTCCTTGTCGGACTGTACCACATGGGGGCAGTATAGCTTCATTATAGGATCAAGATTTTGGGGCCTGTTAAAAACTGACTTCAAAATTAACTACATCAGAATTACAGAAATGAATATGGTTTTCTTGCTTACTGGCTCCTGCTCTCATTTCTAAATATGCACATATCTATTCCATTTTGAAATCATATACATAGCAAACATTGTTGTCTCCTCTACCATACATGACTAATAAGAATAGTTTTTATCCACGGTCTCTTATTTCTCCACCAACTTGGTTTGTTCATTCTGTTCTTCGCTTTCCTTTTTTTAGATAAGATATCACAATGTAGCCCAAGCTGGTGGTGAACTTGCTATTTTTTTTAACTTGCTATTTAGCCTTGAACACATGATCCTTCTCCCTCAGCCTCCCAAATTCTTGAATTATAGGCATGTGTGCCTATGTGTGCATTTTTGGATAAGCACTTCTTTGGTTTCTTTGTGCTCTCCAAGTGCTTATCTTGTGAGATTTACCACATAGTTACATTCAAGGCTGTTAGTAAAAAGGATACAAGTGCATTTCAGTGTATTAATGTGGAGAGATTAATAAAACATATATGTACTTATATATATATGGGTGTGTGGCTGTTTAGATGTTAGTGTATATTTTATATACTAAGTGAGTTTTTATAATATACTCATCCTTACCCCCACTCCCCTCCCCGACTTTGCTTCTTTTGTGCTTACCTGGAGGTGGAGGGAGGAGGAGTTCAGTGTTGTCTGAAGTGAGCCAGAACAGCCTTATCAGCTCTCTCTGTTTTTCTTAGCTATTCTCCCTAGCAGGGGTTTAACTCTTTATTTGCCAGAAATCTCCCTGAGGTCCTTTAACTTTCCCTGCCTGTCCCCAACTTTCCCTACACTATCATTCAAGCTGTCCAAAGACTTTCCATATACACTGCTTCAACAGGAACACAAACAGCCTGAAATAAATAGGAAAAATTAAGTTCCAATACATAGAGTCTATATGACACACATATTCACAGTCCCTGACTTATGATAGTTCTATAAAGGTTTTTTGAGTTATAATGGGTTTATCAAGAGGGAAATCCAAAGTAAATTGAGGAGCATCTGCAAATATAAGACAGTGAAATTATTTGTTACTACATTCAACTCAAGAAATTGGGAATAGAACCAGACATGGTGGTCAATGGCTGTAATCTCAGAACTTGAAAGACGGGCAAGAGGATTATGAGTTTGGTGCCAGCCTGGGCTACATAATGAGATCTTGTCTCAAAATTAATTAATTAAAGGGACCGGGGATTTAGCTCAGTGGTTCCAGCACCTGCCACGCAAGGTCCAGAGTTCAATCCCTGGTATCAAAAATTTAAACAAAATTTTTTTTAATAATTAATTAATTTAAAAATATTTTTAAAGATAGAAATAGGGCAAAAACATGTTTTAAAACCCAGGAAGTAATGAAGATAAAACTTACTGAATTAAAATGAAGAAAATGGTAAATTAATGAGCATAAGAGCTGATTCTTCCTGGATGTGGTGGTGCACACCTATAATCCCAGTACTCAGAGAGGCTGAGGCTGGAGAAACCCAAGCTCAAGCCCAGCCTGGGCTAGTGACTTAACAAGAACCTGACTCAGAATACAAAATAAAATGGACTGAGGATATAGTTAAATGCAAAGGCACTGGGCTCAGGCTGAAAATACAGTTCAGTGCCAGGGCACTTACCCAACATGCTCGAGGTTCAATCCCCAGCGCCGAAGACCAAGTGAACTCACAAACAAACGAAAAAAATGGGGAAAACCAAAGGCACTGGGCTCAGTCTTCAGTGCTGGGGGTCTACAAGAAAGGAAAAAGCAGTAAGAACACTGATTCAAAAAAAAATCAATGAACCAAGAAATGAAATAAAATATATTACAACTCAAAGGGCCGGGGACTTAGCTCAGTGGTTCCAGTGACTGCCTTGCAGGTGCAAGGTCCCAAGTTCAATCCCCGGTACCGAAAAGAAAACCAGGAAACAGAATATATTACAACTCAGATAATTTAAGAATTCTGTGGGAATAATACATGAAATGCTGCTTTACATCAGAATGAAATAATAGGTTTTCTTGGATATACTTTAAATTTTGCCTTAAAATATGTCAATAACAGAGGAAGAAACTTAACACATTATCAAATGCTTATCTTCCAAGTGAATTCTGCCCCAGGTGACTTTATCAATGGTTTCTTTAGAACTTTTTTCTTTTGTTTTGTTTTGGTACCAGGGATGGAACTCGGGACCTTGTGCTTGCAAGGCAGGTGTGGTACACTGAGGTAAATCCCCGGCCCTTTAGAATTTTTAAGGAACAAATAATTCCCAAGTGCCAGCGCACACTGACCTGTTATCCCACAAATACACGAACTTATGTCTTTACTTAGATTTTTCATGGTTACCCCCTTCTTATCATTTGGGTTCTAACTCAATATCCCATCTCTGAAGCCCTCCACTCCACCCCAGTTAAGGTACTGTGCTGGTCAGGCCTTCACATTACTTTTGCTATTTGTCTCTGAGAGCGAATGTCTTGTATTAATTCATTGTTATTTCCTCATCACCCCAAACAATGCCAAGCATGAAATCAGAATACACAGATACTTGTGGACTGCCTGTCTCACTTATACAGACTCTCCCGGGTCACAGGAAGGACATAAGAAGCTGTCCAAGGGCTGGGGATGTAGCTCAGTGGCACTGCACCTGACTGGAAAGCTCAAAGTCTTGAGTTTGATCCCTGGTACCGCACCAAAAATAAAAAAAGGAAGCTGTCCCACATGTTTCGTGCAGCTTCCTAAATACAGTACAAAGAAAGAAAACTAGGCTGTGATTACTTCCATGATGCCATGCTGCCTCGCTCAAGATCAACTCTCACGCAAGAGAGAAAACACCAAGACACAGTCAGTTGAAATCTAAGATTAAATCCACTTGGTAGCCAGAGTACTAATAATAGCAAAGGTGAAGAAGAAGAGGAAGGGGGAAGGAGAAAATTTATTTTGAGACAGGGTCTCATTATGTAGTTCAGGCTAACGAACTCACTGTGTAGCCCAGGCTGGCCTCAAACTCATAGGATCCTCCTGCCTCAGCCTCCCCAGTGCTGGGATTACAAGCGTGCACCACCATGCCTGGCCAATAAAACTATTTCTATCTGGAGAAAAATATGGCCAGTTACAGTCTCCATCCCTGGACCATAATCCCAGGGAGCTCCTATCAGGCCTCATCACCATCTCCCTCACCAAGTACTTGGTGCTGATGAGATGCTGGCTTGGTCAACAGCCCTCATTCAGGGAGAACAATGGTTGCCAGGGGCTGTCACCTGAGAGTGTGGCCAACTCTGTCCTATCTCAGGGGATGCATATTCTGGCACCAGCCCTGTCCCCACACACATTACATTTCTTTTCTTGACTTCAGCCAAAGCTCTGAACACTCACATGGTGTAGAGCTCAGTTCCTGGACACCCAGGCCAAAGGCTCCAATGGAACCACCGCTGCAGTTAAGGTAAAGACTTTTCTGTGGAGTGGTTGCCACTTTAAAGAAAACATTGCCTTTGTAACGTGTTTACTTCTTGCTCTTCGGAATCTCGGGGACTGGAAGTCTACTGCTAAAAAGGGAGATCATCTCAGATCTCTGACTCCATCCCATTCATACCCTACTGTAGATCCTCAATGAGTGGCTGGCTTAATGATGCCCATCCCTATATATTCTTCAGTGATTCATCCAGGGGGAAAAGACAATGACATGAAAGAGTCAGGAATGGTGACTATATAACCAAAGAGGGATCTAGATTCTAGGTCACAGAGGTGAGGGCACCCCTGGAATCTGAAGTTGCTCCCAGAGCCCCTGAAAAGCACCCCTAGAAATATAGAGAGAAGACAGTCTCTGGGATTGGGCAGGAAACCCTGTGGGGAGGTAAGAAATGTCATCCTTGGGAGGAGAAACCGAGTGGAGGTCCAGGTCTAGAGAGAATAAAACCCCCCACTATTTTGTTGGAGCTAATTGTGCTCAGATCCCACTGAGGAACACAGAGAGATCAGGAAGAGGGTGCTTCACACTTGACTAAAGATTCCTATCTCACAGAACTCCTGGCTTGTTACAAGCCCAGTCAAAATCTTTGTCAAACCTAACAATGTTAGACAGAAGCAATGGCCACTCTGGGGCGGGGGGGGGGGGGGGGGGGGTGCTGGAGCTTGAAAAGAGAGAAAAGTAAAAGTTTCAGATATCTCATTCTAGAACAGTGGCAATGAACCTATGGCATTTGTGTTACTGTGTTTTTCTTATAAGACAATAGATGTTAATATATGAGTTGTTTTTTCTAAACAGAAGCTTCAGTATTCAGGTTTAATTGCAGTGAATGTTGGCACTTTGTGATAAATAAGTGGGTTTTGGGTTGCAGTTTGGGCACTCGGTTTCAAAAAGGTTCACCATCACTGTCCTAGAATATTCTATGATGTTTAATGTAGGTTATACAGACAAGAGAAAAATCTAGAGAATGTCTTCCTGGCTCCACAAGATCAAAAGGGTGAGAGCTGAGAGGCTGTTCCATGATTCTCATACCAAAAATCTCCACTGAAGATCAAGCCCATCAATCCCTGACTCATTTCCCCACCACCCCGCGTTGCCTCCTTGAGGACCATCTGTTTCGAATGTGTGCATGAGAACAGTTCCCCATAGTGTGTCTCAAAACTCCCATCGGAACAGAATCTGCCCTTCACCTTTCTGTCAATGGAAGTCAGGTCAGGGAGAACAGAGGTGGGGCAATGAAGGTGGGAAAACTTCCCAAAGTTTAATTAAATCATGCTGCGTAGGAGACAGGAAATGAGGGAATGGAGAGGGAGACTTGCAGGCAAGAGGGCGACGGCCCTGGCTTTGAGATTACGAGCACCCACACCTAGCTCTGTACCCGTGTTTCTCAAAGCTGGGAAATGTGTCATTCTCTTTTGGACTCCAAAGAGTGTGCACCTAAGAACCCCACTGTTTCGATGATAATGTCTTTCACTTGCAAGTTATAACTATAAAAGAGGTTTGTCTTTGTATCACAGGCTCCTTGTGTTATCCTCAAAAACCCTCTTTAATAGTGCATACAATGCAGACATCTGAGTGTGCGTCTAAGATCACAGATTGAGAAACACCTGGACAAGCTCCCAACCAGGCATCATGAAAATCTTCCTATGGGGACTCCTCATGGCAACAGCAGTGGTGCTCCTGACCTTTTATTTCATTAGGGAAAACCCTTTGGACACCACAAGTTTCCTGTCTTTGGTGAGTACCAGAAATTTAGGGTAGGGCCAAGTTAAGATCCCTGGGCAGGAAGACAGCATTATCTTGAGTGTCCATCTGTGTGAAATTGTCACAAATACTATAGACATTCAAAGAAGAAGAAAGACAAGAATGCATCAGGAATCCATATATTCTTTTTCTTTGATGAATTTGATAAGGATCTTGACTCTCTAGAACAGTAAAAATTCGGAGCTGGGAAGAAATAACATTTAATGCTTTGGCAGAATTGGCCCTTTTCTTATAGCAATTTCTAAGACAGAAAACTTTCCTTGTTTTATAAATTTCCCACTTTAAAAAATGTCCCTTGGTTTTCAAAGTTATACATTTTCATCATTGTTATTCCTCAGAATCCTGAGAGGTTAAGTCATTTCTCCAAGCCAAGAAAAACTCTAAGAAGTACAGAAATTTTCAGCAGAATGCAGAAAAAGGCAGAGAAGAGAAGGGAGGGGTGAATGAAGAGGAAAGGTTTGTTTGGACACCAGAGTGGTACCTGGCCCTCAGTATCTGCCACACTTAACATGTGTGATTCCCCTCCTGGGATGAATGACTCATATCAGCTCGTAATCATAGGGATAACTGGGGGTGAAGAATGACATTTTATTCCCTGTATGTTGCCAGAGAGCTAGAGAAATTCCAGCACCCTTTATTCAGGATCCATAACCTATACAGGAACCCCGAGGACAGAGAAGACAAAGATAAAACTTGAATTGAGCCTGAGCAACCTGCCCTGTGTCCTGGAGATGATTTCCTTATGTTCTGCAAAGGGGACCATCCAGCCATTCTTCCCAGAGGTGATGGATGGAACTGAATCTCACTCTCTTCTCAGGAGGAAAAGGAGATGGTAGCTTGGCAGAGAGCCTGGATGCAGATCAACCCTGGCCTAACAGAACACCTCAAAAGCTTCAAAGACATGCAGAGAAACTCAGAGCCACTCAAAAATGTGAACACTCAGATCTTGATTGGAGTCCCTCCCATGGAAAAAAGTGAGTGTCCACAAGGCACATAGGTCATCATCCAGGGTGGAGAGGGAATGCAGGTGGAAAGGAAAGGGAGCAGGAATTGAGGCTGCAACAGGTACTGATGCTGAGTCCATTCATTCCCCATCCCCTCTGCTGATGCAACTAGGGAGACACTGGGAAAGTCCAGGAGGCAACGATGGGAAGAGGGGTTGAGTAAAAGAGAAAGAAGTCGGAGGAAGCTTCACCGAGTCTGGAGTGGACAGTCTCCTAAGGTTAAATGGAGCTCTAGAGACCCTTTAGGGACTTGCTACTCAAGGTGTAGCTCATGACAGACAGCAGCAGATCTGGTAGTTCGGTAGAAATATAGAATCAGCCAGATGTGGTGGCACACACCTATAACCCCAGCTACTCAGGAGGCTGAGGCAGAAGGATCTCAAATTCAAGACTAACCTGAGCAATTTAATAAGACCCTGTCTCAAAATAAAAATCAAAAAGGGCTGGGGATGTAGTTCAGTGGTACAGTGCTTAGCTGGCATGTGTGAGCTCAATCCCCAGTACCACAAAGGAAAGAAAAGGAGAGAGAGAGAGAGAGAGAGAGAGAGAGAGAGAGAGAGAGAGAGAGAGAGAGAGAATGAGAATGAGAATCCTAGGCCACATCTTGACCTACAGAATCAGAATTTTCACTTTGAGCATACTCCAAGAGAGTGGTGCACGCATGGAGCTTGTGGCCTATACAGATCTTCATAGATCTGAAGCCCAGGACATGATCCTGAAAAGCAGAGCAGAGTCGTGCATGGTGGCGCACACCTGTAATCTCAGCACTGGGGAGGCTGAGGCAGGAGGATGGCCACAAGTTCGAGGCCAGCCTGGGCTACATAGTGAGTTCAAGGCCAGCCTGGGCTACATAGTGAGACCCTGTCTCAAAAATGAAAAAAAGCAGATGAGAACAATGACAAGTTTCAGGTCATCAAAATCGTCTCAATTATTTTAGACCCTCCCTATGGTAGAGACCCTGTCCTCCCAGCCTTGTGTGAGCTACCCTCGTAGTCTTTAAAAACTACACTTGCAGAAAATGAATACATTCTCACTGGAAAAGATTTCCATTCAATACATTACAACAATGTGTACTGCATACAGAGCAAAGAGTGAAAGCTCCTTTTTCTTCCCTTCTCTCCCCTCCCCCCAGAAGTCTGCTATCTTCTGCCATTCACATAGATACCATATCTGTGGGATTTAAAAAGATCATTTTAGGCCCAGGGATGTAGCTCAGCAGCGCCACTCCTGCCTGGCAAGCACAAGGTCCTGAGTTCAATTCCTGGTACCAAAAAAATAAAATAAAACAAATAAAAATAAAAATAAAAAGATCAGGGGCCGAGGATTTAGCTCAGTGGTTTCGCCACCTGCTGCGCAAGCACAAGGACCTGAGTTCGAGCCCCAGTACCAAAAAATAAATGAAATAAATAAATAAATAAAAAGATCATTTTATATGCACTATTCTGAGGCTTGACATATATATATATAATATGTGTGTCTTGGAGAGTCTTCTCTTGCTGAATTCTTTAACTGCCAGCATCAAGATAATATAGATTAAAAAAAAAAAACTAACCTTTCCTTATTGATGAGCACTCAGTTATTTTCAACTTTTTCTATAATAAAAAATCACAACTTTTTGCTCATATGTAAAATATTTCTATGGGACATACATTCAGATGTGAAGCTAATGGGTCGAAAAGCACAGAAACTTTAGATTTTTATTGATATCTCCAGATCACAAAGACAGAAAGCTACTACTTTATGTAGGTATCTGTTTCCTCACTCTCTTTCCACTACTGTTCTTTGCCAATTTGAAATGCAGAAAATACTTCTTATTTTCTGACATTTGTTGTTATCTGATGGCCTTGTTTATTACTGAAGGTTGAACATTTTTTTATAAGCTTAAAAGTCATTTTTGTGTATTCTATGAATTTCCAGTTTGTATTCTTCGATTATTTTCTACCGGATTGTTTTTGTTGTTGATTTATAAGAATTATTTATGTATTGGAAATATTTGTGCCTTGTTAAATACCTACTTGTTTACTACTTGTGTCTGTTCATGATTCTTTTGCTGTATGAACATTTTAAAATCTTATATCAAACCTGGGTTGCGTGTATTGCTCGAGGAAAAAGTTACCCTCCACAAGTTTTTTTTTGAAAACTTTTATATGTTCTTCTAATATTCTTATGATTTTGCTTTTGTACATGTAAATGTTTCATATAGGTAACATTTAGTTTTAAGTAAGATGTGAGCTAGATAATCAGCTTTATTTACATTTGGAAATCCTATGATATCAACTGATATGAAATGCCACCCGTATCATAGAAGTTCCCACATATATACAAGTTTTTCCTGGAAACAATTTTATTCTGTTGACCTTTTAAATATTCCAGAACTGATTCCGTGTGATCTGAGTTTCTATTGCTGTATGGTGTGTGTTGTTACATTAATTCTCCCTCCCCTGCTTATTTATTCTTATGCTCTCACATTTTTCTTGGCTATTCTTTATTTTTTTCTCTTCTAGATGAATTTTTTAGTCAGTTTGTCATGAAAAAATACTGTTGATTGGGATTGCATTAGATTTACAGATAAGCCTGGAGTTAACTGATATCTTCATTATACTGAATCCTACCATCAAGAAACGTGTTGTGGGCACTGGGGACTTAGCTCAGCAGCGCTGCACCTGCCTGGCAAGTGCAAGGTCCTGGGTTTGATCCCCAGTACCAAAAGAAAAAAAAAAAGAAAAGAGAAATGTGTTGTGTGTCTACATGATTCAGATTATCTAATATCGGCTTCGTCAAAGCTCTGCTACTTTTTTTTTTTTACAAGTCTTTCACCTTTCTGGTTAGGTACAGTCTACTGTATGTTATAGTTGCACATGAGGTGTGGCTTCCTTCTCCACTGCATCTCCTAACTGGTTATAAGCAGTCTGAAAGGACGCTAACACAGTGTGGGTCGTGATCTTATGCCTATCATATTAACTGTCTTACTGGTTTTAATAATTCCCCAGTAAATTCTCTTGTGTTGGCTATATAGATCATCATTATTTACAAAGAGTGACATCTTTGTTTCTTGTGAATGTTTATCTCTTTCGTTTCTTTCTTTTTTTTTTTTTTTTTGGTACCAGGGATCGAACTTGGGGCCTTGCGCTTGTGAGGCAGGCACTGGAACCACTAAGCTAAATCCCCATCTCTTTCATTTCTTGATTACATAATTTCACTGAACATTATTAGTCAAAGTAAGCATCTTTGTCTCATTCTTGACTTCAGTGGGAATGCTCTCGAATATCTCATCATTAATTACTATATTCCCATAGATTTTCATTTGTATATGTCTAGGAATAAACAAAGTTCCATGCTGTGTTTTAGGGTTACAATTTATCAAAAGCAGTTGTTTTCCTTGTATTAGTAATTGAATCCTGGGGCTCATGAATGCTAGGCAGGCTCTCTACCACTGAGATACAGCCACCACCTTTTTTGGTTTTTGTTTTTAATCTTGAAACAGGGTCTTGCTAAGTTGCCCAAGATGGCCTCAAACTTGAAATCCTGCTGGCTCAGTCACCCGAGTAGCTGGGATTATAAGCATGCACCACCATGCTCAGCTATTTCAGCTGTAATTTCAAACACCATAGATACATAATTGGTAGCCTTATACTTTTTAAACCCTAAATGCAATATGTAAAGTATACCAAAAGGTATGGAAGGTCTGTGACTATCTAGGTAAAAAATAAAATTATACTAATAATTAAAGCACTTCCCTGTATTCCTCCCCTACAATGAATGCTGCCTTGTGGCTTTTGTTGTGGTTATTTCCCAGTGCTGGGGATTGAACCTGTGCCTTAGTACTGAGCCATAGCCCACCTCTGATCCCTCTTTGTTTTCCCCTCCCCAGAGGTAACACTGCTTTGAATTGGATACTTATCATTCCCTTATATTTTTAAATAAACTTACTAGATGTGTAATCATCCTAAACTGATATTCTATTTGTATTTAAACTTTATAAGTGTGGTGTAAGGGACTGTGGGTGTAGTTCAGTGGTAAAGGTCTTACCTAGCATGTGTGAGAATCCAGGTTTGATCCCTGCACCTGAAAAGGAAAAAAAAAATCACAAAGGTATAAAACTGTATGTATTTCTTCCAGAACCCACTTTCTTTCACTTAATATTATGTTTATGAGATTCTGTTGCTTTCCTTTTCATTAAATATCATATTGGTATTACACTGTGTATAAAACAAACATTGTCGTGGTTCAGGCAACCCTTGACTGAATGACCAATGGCGATATTTTGATCCACTCCCCTGTTAATGGGCACTTAGGTTAATTCCAGTTTTCACTCTTCCAACAATGTTGCTATGAATATTCTTGTATATTAATCCTTATGAACACTCATGAGAAATTCTCTAGGGTACATTCCTAGGAATTTTGTTGTTGTTCATAGTACTGGGGATTTAGCCCAAGGCCCTCTGATACACACACACACACACACACACACACACACACACACACACACCTTTTTTAAAATTATTTTTTGAGACAAGTTGCTAAATTGCCTAGGCTGGGCTCACATTTGCAATCCTCCCACCTGGGCCTCCCAGTGTTAGAGTCACAGACATACAGTACCATGCCCAGCTGATCTTCTATGGCTTTTAATCTGCTGTATTTAATTACATTCTGCTTTTTATCTTAGTTCCACACCCTACTTCCCTTAGTGTGTTTTTGCTCTAGTTCCTTTGTTTCTCATTTCATTTATTTTCTGTTATTTTATAACAAATGCATTGAAAGCTATTACTTCTCCTCTAAGTCCCAATTTACATGTATTCCACAAGTTTTGGCCCATGGTGTTCTTACTTTCATTTGTATTAAGTAGCTGGTAATTTCCATGTGGATTTCTTCTTTACTCCAAGAGATATTTAGAACAGTAATTTGCCATTCCTAAAGCAATGCTTTTAGTTAGACTTTCATGATTAGGTTTAGTTTTATTGCACTCCAGTAAAAAACATAGCCTATAAAATTGCTATCTTCAGGACAATGAAAATTAAAGTTGTCTTCTTGGTCTACTTTATAGTCAATATTTTAAAAGTATATCTGAAAGAAATGTGTGTCCCCTGATGAGTACTACAGACAGACAGACAGGCGGACACATGCACACACACACATACACACTCTCTTTGAATATCCTTACCTGTGTTATTCAAAATTCTTTGTTTTGCTTACTTGATCTGTTGATTTCTGTAAAAGAGAAAATGCTCAGTGTGATTATGAGTCTATCTATTTCTTTTATATTCGTAAAGTTTTATTTTGTATTTAGCTATAGAATAGGTCGTCAGCATTTGTACAATATATGTTTTTTCATTGCTATCTTTTCAACATTTTTGTGTCTTCTCTGTATGTGCATTTTCATATACTAGATGGAGCTGCATTTCACTGAATGCAGATATTAAAGGAGGCATTTTTTCCAGCTATCTCTCTTCTCTGTTGACCAATTCAGAAACACATAGGGGTTGGATAAGGAGTTGAGTGAAACATATCCCCCCTTTTCTAGTCACATAAAGCTGGTTTGACTGATGCAGGTTGGGTCCAAGAACATAGTCAGCTTTCTAACACATCACACAGCTGCTTGTTCTAATGCCCACAAGTCCCAAGTCTGAAGAAAGAAACTTTAAAAAATGGTTCAGTACCCCTGGGAATGTAGCTCAGTGGTGCTGCTGCCTACCCTGCAAGCGCAAGGTCCCGAGTTCGATCGCTGGTACCAAAAAACAAAAAAAGGTTCAGTACAGGAGGCATTAAACACTGGGATGAGCAGAAGACCTGCACCAGTTCCTCTCTCCACAGATGCGGGGAAGCTGAGAGTGCGGCTGCATGTGACCCAGTCTTGAAGGGAAACTGTGGGTCAGTAGATGTCACATCTGTCATCTCACCAGACAAATCAACCAGAGAGCGGGAAGTGACCCAAGAAACGTCTACATGAGTGGGGGTATATTCCTGCTTTAAGAAAAGCATGGTCCAATGACCAGACATTTCTCAGACCAAGAAGTAAAAGCAGCAAATAAATATATGAAAAAATGTTCAACATCACTGGTCATTCGAGAGATGCAGATGAAAACAACACTGATTCCACCTCACCCCAGAAAGAAAGAATGCCTGCTATCAAGAAATCAACCAAGGGCCAGGGATTTAGCTCAGTGGTTCCGCCACCTCCCTCACAAGCAGAAGGACCTGAGTTCGATCCCTGGTACAAAAAAAAAAAAGAAAGAAAGAAAAGAAATCAACCAATAACAAATGCTGTCAGGGGTGTGAGGAGAAAGGACCCCTTCTCCATTGTAGATGGGAGTGCAGACTGGTGCAACCACTGTGGAAATCAGTATGGAGATGCCTCAAAGAACTAGGACTAGAGGTCCCTTTTGACCCAGCTATTCCCCTGCTGGGGATCTTCCCAAAAGAATTAAAAGAATCATACCACAGCGATATATTTGCACTCATGTTTATAGCGGCACAGTTT